AAACATGGTTAAGTAGGTACAAAATGTTTTTCTGTACTTGCCAGAGGCCACTGCACCCAGTTAAGATTCGCTTTATGATTGCAGTGTTTGAAGTGGTATGACGGTGTTCAATATTGTTATAGGGCCTTTTGAGGCATTTAAACTATTTTTTAAACACATTTGAAACATGAATTACAGGAAACCTTGAAGCCAACGCGATATCACTCTATTACGGCAACTAAAGAGCCACTAGATTAAAAAAAAAGCCTCTGTGTTCTGGGTCTGTGTTCTCGATGCTAAAGAACCAGAGGGATAGGTAACCCACGTAAGCATGTCTAATGCTAACACATGCTCAGGGCAACTCTACCAGACAATGAAATAATAACACAGGCAGGAAGCCTGTTTAAAGGGCACACTTCTCAAAGAATAATGTGCAGTGAAGGCACCAGCATGCTTTGTTAGAGATCCCATGAACCTGGGTTTGCCTCAGTGCTCATGGCTCTGCGCTCAAATCATGATACAGGGAAAATATCATGTAAGAGGACACATCACAGCTCACACGGAAAGCTGTGTCCCGCAGCAGTAGACAAGAAACACTTGGCTGAGCTTGAATGTTTATTAGAGTACAGCTCACAGGTATGGCGAAAAGAGCAGGGCTTTTGTGCTGCAAGCAGGATTCTAATGAAATAAAGAAACCGCGACATTATAAATGACTGAAAACGCAGATAAGGGAGTTTTAGCGTCAGATTAGATTAATAAAAAAAGACCTACAGAAAGAATGAATGACATATCATAGCGGAGGAGGGATGTGATGGGAGGCCGTGCATGTGGATGAGATAGTGAAAGAAAGAAAGGGAGAGAGGACTCAAGGAGGATGAGGGACAGGAAGAGAAGAAGCGAGAGAGTGCGAGTAGAGGAAAAAGAGAGAGAGCGGGAGAGAAATAGAGGGAGGCAAATAGCGACAGGCAGGCTGCGATCTCCAGCGGAGAAGGTCAGATTCGGAAATGTCACGGCCGTGATTGTTCCAGATTGAATAATTGGAGAGAAAAGCCGGCTGACAACCCAGGGGAAGAAGGGATGGGGGGTTGGGGGGGACAGACGTGGGGAGAAGAACGAATAAAACCTCTAAACTGTCATTACAATCGCCGGTTTCGATTCTCCACACACATACATACGCAAATGAAGACGCTATTTAACGCAGTCACTGGCAGCACGTAAACACGGCGCGGCAGGGAACAGAGCATCCAGACGTCTCTTTGCCTCTGTTTCTCCCACAGATGGACGCGATGTGACAGATCGCTGCTCAGATAGCCGCCTCACTCCCCCTGAATATAAGCTGCCCGGGCACCCTGCGAGGGACCGTGTGTGTCAACGCAGGCCAAATGTAGTTTGACAGGAAGCACCGGAAGGCAGGATTGGTGGGCGGGGCTTGTGCTGCCACGAACGGAACCTTGAATAAAGGGGACACATTCTGCACACCCAGACTAACCAGGAACATATGGAAGTTTTGCCTGGTGGCAGCCTCGGGCGGCGCAGGGCGCAGACGGGCCAACATAGACACGAGCACAATGAGTTCGGCCGCAACAGCCGGTGGTGGTTTTACAAAGATTATGAAGGAATGTCACAGAGACAAATGAGATGGCAGTTATTGCCGCATAAAATCGCAAATGAAAATAGTTATGATGTTTTCATGATAACAAATCTTGGATTGACATACAAGATTTTTTTCTTATTTAAAGAAAAATAATATCTCTGTCCCTTTTCTCCCTATCACAGGCTTGGCAAAGGCATTACTCGTACGTTTTAAGGGTGTGAATCTATGGGTTGACAGCAATTTGTTTTCTGGATGCGATCACAACAGTTAAATGGCACTGGTTCAGTTGTGGCCACGTAACAACTGTTGTATTTAACTGTAAAGTTAGTTAAACAATTGCTACAGTTAATATGTCATTATATTATACTATTGTACTGTATGTACACTATCATTCAAAAGTTTGAGGTCAGTAAGATTTAAAAAAAAAAAAATCATTACCTTTATCCAGCAATAATGCATTACATTGATCAAAAGACAACCAAGACATTTATAATGTTACAAAATTTCTATTTGAAAAAATGGTGTTCTTTTGAATATCACATTCATCAAAGAATCCTGAAATACAAGTATCACAGTTCCCACAAAAATATTATGCAGCACAAAATTGATATCAAGAAATGTTTCTTGAGCACCGAATCAGCATGTCAGAATGATTTCTGAAGGATCATGTGACCCTGAATACTGGATTAATGGCTGCTAAAAATTCAGCTTTGCCAACACAAGAATCAATTACATTTTTTAAATACATTAAAATGATGACTTGTAATGATATTTCAAAATATTACTGTACTTTGATCAAATACTAAAATAATATTCTTACTGACCCCAAACATTGAACGTGTATATAGTATAAAATGACTTTAGAAATTCATTCATTTTTAGCATTTTAAATTGATTACTGGACAAAATAAATTATAAAAACAAAATGTGCGTAGTATCACCTCAGCTCTGAACATTTTCAGATCATACTCAAGACTGAAATTATAGATTCACTCCTGCTCACCATCATAGTAGACAATGGCTCCCACGAGTTTGTCTTTCTTCAGCATAGGGAAGAGCTCCAGTGCTTTGCTCTTGCTCAGGACGTAGCTACTCTTCAGACACTGTGATCCGGCAACCAGGTCGTACATTTTAATGCCAGCCCAGTAATATGGCAGCTGCCACCACCTGTGTAAAACATCAACAGTCATATTTAGTACCAGTAACACACTATCATTGTCTGTGAATTCAGCAAATGTACTGACTGCACAATCTCTATTCAAATATACAAACAAGGATATTTTGAGTACCCTGGTGGGAGAAAAAATGCTGGTTTGCTGGTCTTAATTGTTTTCCCAGCCTTATCTGTTTGCTGGTTAGCCTATATAAGTAACCAGGTAAGGTTGGTTTAGGCTTTTTTTAAGCAGGGTGTATTACTAAATAAAATAGATATATTCTCCATGAGCAGAACTGGATTTGTCCAAGTGCCACTAAGTCATATAGCACCTTGTGACATATTTGTTTTAAGTTTAAAAAAAAATCGGACAGGCAAATGATGTAATCTTGAGGTTTCTCATTTCTGTGACCCTTTCACACTTCTCCGGCTGCTTTAAATATCAGAGCAAGGCATAAATGCCACGAGTAATTAATAATGATGATGGTAAAGACAGGAAGATCCTTTAAAAACCCAGAATGACAAGGGGCAGAGACTGAGGAGGCGAGAGGTCCAGCATTGATCCACAGAATATCCGAACCCCACCTGCTGCAGGGGTCCATATGAAAGGTGCAATGCCATTTCTGTGAACTTACCAATGGATTTAAATACAAAAACTGTCTTTTATGAATCTAGGATGTCTCTGGTGTTTCTCTTTAACTTTGTTCTGTCTAAACCCCATATTTCCATTCCTTTTTTATATATTTTTTCCCTTTCAATGATCAGTGTTTTTATTGTCGGACATGTAAATTAGTGAACAGAGTAGTAGTAAGTAGTAATTAGATAAAACTGGTTTTCTTACTTGTAAACAGGAAGCATTATAGGTAAAGGTGCGGACAGGTGGGGAGCGTAATAATTTTAATTTTAATTTTTAATAATTACTATTCTGAAGACAGTCGGTTCCCTTCAGAGATACATTCATATATCTGTCTAAACCCCATATTTCCATTCCTTTTTTATATATTTTTTCCCTTTCAATGATCAGTGTTTTTATTGTCGGACATGTAAATTAGTGAACAGAGTAGTAGTAAGTAGTAATTAGATAAAACTGGTTTTCTTACTTGTAAACAGGAAGCATTATAGGTAAAGGTGCGGACAGGTGGGGAGCGATGTTCAGCAGATTGGCACGTTCATGAAGGGCCTCTTTCACCATCATGTACTAAGCAAGTAGAAATAAATCTGTTAAGCATGTAATTTATGTTCTAAAACAAAACATGAAAATGTCTTCAATCAATGTTAACCACAGAGGTCAATTTACTCATAAATTAAAAAAAAAAAACAACTCTACTCTAAAAACCCATAGAAAATTCAAGTCTTTGAATTATCTTCATTTGGGGGCTTTTGACAGCAAATACTGATATGTGACCCTGAACCACAAAACCAGTCTTACGTCGCTGGGGTATATTTGTAGCAATAGCCAAAAATACATTGTATGGGTCAAAATTATTGATTTTTCTTTTATGCCAAAAATCATTAGGATATTAAGTAAAGATCATGTTCCATGAAGATATTTTGTAAATTTCCTACTGTAAATATATCAAAACGTAATTTTTCATTAGTAATATGCATTACTAAGAACTTCATTTGGACAACTTTAAAGGTGATTTTCTCAATATTTAGATTTTTTTTCACCCTCAGATTCCAGATTTTCAAATAGTTGTATCTCGGCCAAATATTGTCCTATCCTAACTAACCATACATCAATAAAAAATATTTATTCAGCTTTCAGATGATGCATAAATCTCAATTTCGAAAAATGGACCCTTATGACTGGTTTTGTGGTCAAGGGTCACATATATGCAATTAATATAAATATGATCCTATATTTTACTGTCATTTTATTCCCTATTAAATACTTAATCATATTTTAAATATGCATTTTTAAAATGACATTACGTTGGCCAACAACCAATCCTGACTGCAGTCGTTTTGAGTTCAAAATTTTAGAGTGCTGCTATTTCCGATTATAATTTACAGTATCGTTTTTGTATTTACTTATTGAAACAGTTGATGATCAAGCTACTGTAAGTTTTGGTTATTCATCCTCCACACTGATGCCGCAGATCTGCAGTATCCTACTAAATGTTTGTGCTTTTCTTTGTCTGTCTGATGTGTTCAAAATGTCACAGTGGTGGCGTAAGCAGCCTTGCAATCCTTCTTCTAAATATTAGGGGCAAATAGGGAAAAATGGGCCTTCACCTGCTCATAATCTAGTTTCATGATGGCTTTCTGCAGATAGCGGACTCCGCCGTGAATGAGCTTGGTGCTTCTGCTGCTGGTGCCTGATGAAAAATCGCTCCGTTCTACCAGGGCGGTCTTCAGATCTGGGCGAGGGGGCAGAAAGACAGGTAAGGAACGGATTAGACAATGCACTGGCATTTCAAGACCTTATGGTGCCAAATATTTAGACTGCAGCTGCTGTCATTTACATATGGCTTTCTCCACTATCTGTAATATCACAACATGTTTATTGCACCCAGGCACATTCTGCCATGGCCTTCAGAGATGAATACAACGTCTAATGAGAATAAAAAGAAAGAAAATTAAAAACAAACTAAATTAACACTAAAATATGTACGAGACAAATCAAAACTGACCTGCACAATAATATCAATAAATATCACAAAACTTAAAATGTACATACTCCGCGTGACAGCGTCTAAGGCACATCCGGAGCCCGTGGCTCCGCCGCCCACCACCAAAACATCAAACTCCTCTGTGTTTCGCAGTGTTGAAAGCTGCTCCTCTCTTGTTGGGAGAGCATCTTTAAACGGCACCTTTAGCTCACCCTGCGCTTCAACATATGCCAGCCGAGCCTGAACAAATCCAGCAGGTGCACAAAACAGAAAAAAGGACCAAAATAAGAAGACAATGTGGTTAAAGACATTACAATACCCTGCATGCTCTTTAAAGATGCAATCCAGAATTGACATTTCATAAGCATTACTGTGCAATTGCATGTCAAATCACAATTCTAAGATGCCCTATATTGTTATGCAAGTTGTCATTGCTAAATCGACATCCAAACATAAGGCTTTTTCTGGACTGATCTTTAAAATATTAATAGTATTAATAATAGATGAATTTAGATGAATTAAATAAGACAAGTAAACATGTCTAGAGAATTACTAGAGAAACACTGAACATGCACTTTTCATAATAATCACTCCACATCAAAATAACATTGAATATATTTCATGAAACATTATGTTAGTCAGCATGCCAAGACATAGGAATTAAGCAGAATGCATAATTGTTCATCTCAAATGTTGGGTTATCAAAGTTCTAATTCAGTTAGTTCTAGTTTCCAGTTCTAGTTTTAGTTTCAACGGGGTTAAACTAAAAAAAAATAATAATAAAAATTAGCACTCATGACACGGTCACTCTTTATGGCAACTTGCACTGTGACCTTTCATATTATATATGTGATATTTTATACATAAGCTTGATATCACTTAAGGTATTTAAACTCCCCAAATCAACTGTGCTTTTCAATCAATCCTCTTATCATTAACAGCGAATCTAAAGTCTATTATAAAGTCAAACAGAGAGACTGACAGTTTGAAATTGTGAATGAACAGCTGCCAATCTATCGGTCACATGAAGGCAAAAAGACGCAAAATTCTAATTAAGAGAAAACAAGCCTGGGCGAAGCTAGGTGTCGAGGGTTTTAGCCATAATGAAACGTTTTATTCATTTTTTTCGTTAGCATTTGGCCTAAATGATTACATCAATCTGCCCCCAAAAGCCCGTAGAGTCCATTTGACTTGCAAATGACCAAATGAGCCCAGACATTTGCAATTTAGACAGTAATAGCATGTAAAAACAAGATTCAGTAATTAGTGTCTATTTCTAAGGACAGACATATTTAAAACATCCGCACACTATTAAGAGAGGCTGTCCTGCAATCAGGACAAGTGCATGACGGAAACAGAGAATTTCATGCAAATATGCAATCGGCCACCGCAGAGTGATACTTCAGCCAGAGTGTAACAGTGCCCTTGCCATAGAGGAGACAAACAGGCACTCACAAACACACACACACACGCTCACCAAATTAACATTACAATCCCAAAGATTAGCATCTGCCACATGCATGATTGCAAGCAATTTTTGAAAGAAGATTCATTCTTTTCTCTTTTGACTTCTGCTTACCCATTTAGGCTGCATTGAGATGACATGAGGGATAAATAAACAAATAAATGGAGAAACATCAGAACAAAAGTTTGTGTCAGTGAAACGCTTAACATGGGATGCAAATGTGACGTGAAGGTGATCTGATTTACTGCTGCAGTACATCCAATGAAGTTTTGCAGAGTGTTCATATTGGTAACAAAATCTCTTTAAATTTGAAGACGTTTAGAAAAAATATTCAAACTCAAGATCATCTTTAAGTTTGTTTTTTTTTACATATTAATCATGTAGTGACAATCTCCATGACAACCATGTCCTTGAGAGTGCCTAATTCTCTCGCTCCCTGGAGTTTCATTGGGATTGGAACAGTTGAGATGCAAGATAATGGACAGATTGGGCTTGGGTAAGATTTAAATAAATGATGAGAGAGAAAATCAGGACTCCCATTGCTCTTCAAGGGTCTGTCTTTTTTTCTTCTTCATTTGTTTCAGAAAGCCTTGTTGATTATCTTAATCTACTTGACCTTCCGTTATTTGGTATAGCATCTAAACAGACGAGACCCCTGGGGATCTTACTAGTTTAAATACGGACAGAACATGGTGTGTGACACACTCCCTGATGGCGTGAATGAGGATCAGATTGTTCTTGATTACATATTCAAGAAAGATCCTTGACACAATGTGTGTATCACTGTTCAAGTGTAATCTCCCTTTAGCAAACAAAACCTCATTTTAATACGGTAGTCTACCCTAGAGAGAGAACGGGGTACGTTTGGAGACTTGAGATAGTACCGAAAGTTACAAATGAGATTTGCTAATGTATCTGGATTTGCTAGGTCTAATCTTAATGAGATTTGTAGCACTCATTCAAGAAATCTATCCTATATGGTTGGTGACCACATGAAAACAAGAATCAAACTTTATGAATTATAAATAGGGAATAATTATAAATAGCTGTAAATTGATCGTAGCTTTAAGATCAAAATACGGGGCCTGAGTTGTACTATGTGAGCTGAATATGGCTGTATCTTTAAGGTTGTATAAACACATAGGGGACATTCCTGAGTCAGGACAAGACATGCTGTGATACAGATGGGCGTGAACAGCTGCATTCTACAGAAAGTGTATTCTGCACTTTAACCTGTAGGGGTCACTGTATGGATGTGAAACGTGAAAACAAAATGCTTGGTATTTGTCAAAAAAATTGGCCAAAACCGAATAAGGTAGAGCAAAAACAATGATGGTTTTAAATCAATACCTGATTCTTCCTGTATTCAAATAACTGTGATAGGCCGAAGGCTGTTGCTACAGCTCCTCCCCCTATTAGGGTTCCTTTCACTGCCTTTCTAAAAGCCATTGATCCCTGAAACATTAAAAAAGTTAAGCAGATTTTTGAATAAATGCCTTTGGAAACAGAAAAAGTTCAGAAAACATCATAATAATAATAATTTAATTTAATAATAATTTATGCATTTAGCAGACGCTTTTATACAAAGCGACTTAGAGTGCATTCAGGCTATACATTTTTTACCAGTATGTGTGTTCACATACATATACATATATACATTTTTTTTTTAAACATAAGGATTTAACAATGTCATTTTGTCCAGAGCTTATATCAATGGCAACGACAAGTTCATTCTGTTTCATAATTACCTGTATTATAAATTCCTTTCTGATGTCTTGAAATTAAACTCCTTGACCTTATCCATATGTCCAGCAGCAGTTGTGTAAACTACTGTATGAATCCAAAAACTCACAATCTCTGGTGAAGGTCAAAGTAAAGCTATAATCAATCTCGACCTAATGCTCTGGGTAGGGATGCAAGTCATTTCACTACATGATACTAGAGGAAGTGAATGAGTCATTCTTACTACACTGTTTGAATTCATTCTTACTACACTGTTTGAATTCACGCCTGTCCCACATGGTCCGTGTACGGCCAACCATGTGCAAGAAAGAGAGAGAGAGAGAGAGAGAGAGAGAGAGAGAGAGAGAGAGAGAGAGAGAGACCACAATGTCTGAGAGTGATCTTACAGGGTTATTATTTTACCAGTTTGTGTACGAGAATGAGACTCCTAGACTGGAGTGTAAACATGTACAGTAATTCAGGCTAAAGTCAATAATATATTACATCTCTAAAATCTTGCCTCAAACCGCTTTCACTTCATTAGAAAAAAACAGAACAGTTCCCTTTATGCTCAGTTCTTAAAGACAACAGTGATGAATACAGACTCGTATAGTGTATCCGCTGCATCACATGAACTCATTAATTACTGACATCGAATCAAAATCATCACCGATCGAGCTCGTGACAAATACATCGGTGCGATAACATAAAGCAAAGCCCACGGCTTGGAATTTTACTTATGATGAAGCGATTTCTATAACACGTATTTCAAGAATTCACACACTATGGGGCTGGTGCAACAGTGGCTGGCTCGCATCCAAGAATAGATCGGACAGGCTCGATGATCTCGACGTCAAATAATACAGCAAGTAATATGCCAAGACCACTGGTTTTTACTTACTGGTTCTGGTGATGGTGACGATGATGTCTAAAAAGGAAAACCATGGACAGTGAAGGTATCAACTGGGTGATGTTTACAATGTTACTTATTCAGGAATCCAGGAAGTACAATGACAGGAAGTATTTGACAGACAGGTGGATGGACAAATCAGTACAGAGGATTCACAGCTCTCGTCCAATCATTTTGAGGAAGGCGTGTCCAGGCGTCTAATTGTAGACGCACTTGGAATAGAAAGGCGTTTTGTACGACCATTCTTTATGAGGGACGGTGTACAAACACACCTAAGACACTATTTAACTCTATTGAACAAATGGATTTGGACCACATGTATAGCTATAACATTAGTTTAGACGAGTATTTTTATCCGAGAGCAATTTATTACTCAATTGTTTACAGCTCATTTACTTTCTCTATTATGAAATGTCAAAGAATAGCTTAACGGAGGCACTAGGCTATGCATACTGCATGCACTTTAGAATGTTTAAAAAAATAAAAAATAGTGGATTCTTTGCAAGGCACGTTATCGTGTCAGTTGCGCAGGTGAGACTTTCAGCCTAAAAAAGTTCAGCGCGACCGCATCACGCGTCATGGAGCTGGACGCTGCTGACGTTGCGATGACGCAGCTCGCAGTCCAAACAAAGTTGCCT